CGGGACTTCTTTTTTGTTTTAGAAAAAGAAATAATTATAATAAGTGTTTTAAGTCTTTTTAACGTGATCGCGAAAACGTTTCTTTGGCGGCCACGCTAGTTTCGCGATCACGTTAAAAAGACTAAACTGACTATTTTTTTAAACAAAAAAGAAGTCCTGACTCAAATTTCGCTAACGCCTTGTCGTCACTTTACCGATATTAGTAGAATAAATCATGGACACTAATATTAAACAGATTGACATTTACGAATTCTGCGCGATGTGTACAGTTGTACGAGTCAGTCAGTTTCATTCAGTCTTGTGAATGGAGCATTATTAGTCCATGTGTTTACGTTTTCCCTCTAGTGATTTTGACTGATGCTACTACTACTCAAAGATGTAAAACACTGAATCTAAAACGATATCAAAATTATCGTTTCAGTGAATGAATATCATAAGATGAACAGTGTGGTTATGTAGCGTAATTTTTTGTCTGTTTTAGGCATCTTCGCCAGCCAAGGACTATTTATTCGGCCGATCAACATTAACCCTTGGCAGATTTCACAACGATTTACTGTATGTCACACGCCCCCAAACGATTATAAGATTCACTTGAGTTCATTTGCTTTACCCAATCAGAACTCACAATATAAACGACATAATACTTGGTAAAATCGTGCCGCTAGCTCGGTTGAATATAGAAATCAACGTGTTGCTAGCTTTTTCTCTGTGAACGAGCTTACTGACCATCAAATCAAAAAACTGTGCTGTTTCTGAGGGAAATGTGTTAGTTGCAGCGAAGAACAGATCGGACAAGTCGACATGTTATCTGTTTCGACAGTTTTGTCAGTTTACTATAACACGGTTTGCACAAATGTTTAAACATTCCGTAGTCTTCATTCACTTGTCCGCAACAAATTTCAACGTTGGAATACCAAAAATTGGAAACGTGTCAACGAACACATAGACCTTCTGTTTTTGACTCCAGGTGAATCTGCGCAGAGCCTAATCTGTGATGACCCCCGGATCTTCAAATTTATAATACAGCAACGCTGATTGGTAGCGCCAGCTTCTTGGCGCACCCAATCAAATGCAGTGAAATGCAGCTTTTCATAACGGGTTCATGGGCCAGTTATGAATGGCCGACTTATTAGCGAAACCGTGCGATTCGGACGATGACTCGTCGGAATCGTGAGCAAAACTTTTGGTTCTGGTGTTCCGTGCGGATCTTCTAGTCATGACTAATGTTCTCCGAGATTTCTTTATTTGTTTAGTGGTTGATCTACGTTGATTTCAAAAAGGTAATGAACCTGCAACCGCAGTATCGATTTGATTTGGAAAAATTCATTGACAACATCTCAACAAACTACAAACCAAAAGAATTTACATTCATCATTTCCTGTTAATATTCATTCCCAGTTTTAGTTCGTATTATATTTCTCTCTAGTATTACACAGCAATGATTTTTGTTCCTATAAAGCAATGGAATAGTCCAAATACCCCTGTTCCTTGTGGCCAAACATCAAAGGCACACCGCGTCCGGTGTTTTGATCAAATGTCACGTAGGTGCGTGTGTAACTTTATTGCGTCTACAACGGTCATTGGAGTGTCTAGGAAAGTGCCTGGGGATGTTGCAAATTCCTAGGCGGCTATAACAATGCACGTCTAAAACGCAAAGGCTCATGGGTAGACGCTTGTTTGTAAACAACAACACGTTACCAGAGATTATTTTTTATCACTAAGCTTG